GTGTGCCTGTGCGGTGCAGTGTGCCTGTGCGGTGCAGTGTGCCTGTGCGGTGCAGTGTCCCTGTGCGGTGCAGTGTCCCTGTGCGGTGCCATTAAAGACCCGACGCATTGTCTCTTCGTTCTGGCACTCCTGTGAATTCCTCCTGTGCGGGGAGGACAGACCGGCTCCCCGTGAGGGTGAATGACTCCGTCCTATGTGCCGCCCACTCAGATTCCTCCTCAGCCACCCTGACTGGAGCTGCCCTGGGGGGTATCTGGGCTAGGTGTATACATGTAGGGGTGGTGTAGCTTCCTGGAGGCGGGTCGCTTGTCTCGTTGTCGCCCTCAGGGCTGGCGTTCTGTCTCGGGGCCTGGCGCCGGCATGACGAAAGCTCGGGGCTTTTGGCACCTCCCCCAGACACCGCCGTCGAGGCTGGAGTGTGGGGTGACCGCAGAAGATCATCTAGATGCCCATAAAGATTTGGAGTGCTACATAAGGTCAGGACACAATGTTCCGGTTGCAAACGAGACCTGGACAGGGGTGCTGTCTGAAAGGGAAGACGGATCACCGGATCACCCCTTACTGTCACAGTCAGCCTCCGCTCGTCGTCTGTGTCGCCGAGATGCAGCCTTAGGTTTCGTATTCCTCTGCGTTTTTGTTTCAGCCCCTACCACCTTCTGTCCCATTACTAGGAAATCTTGTGGCCTTTTTTGATTGGGTGAGCTAAGGGCCATGAGCTCAGTCCCTTGCTGCCCTTCTGGAGGAAAGTCCCAGAATCCTGTCGTTTTTAACTGCTGTGTGATAATAGATCCTCCTTTAGAAGGTGGTTCCTGACTCGGTAGGTTCCTTTCACAGTAGTGGAGCCCAGTCATACTCAGCTGGTCCTTGGCCACACCCACAACAGGAAGTAGGTGATGAGCGTGGGTCTCTGTAGAGGACATGAGGTTCAGCAGAAATGCCACATGACTGAACAATACTGAGAAGAGGGGGTAAGGCTAAACGGATCCCAGATCAGTGTGAAACATTGCTGCATGATGTAGGCACTCAACACGTGCTGGTACGCGAATGAAGAGGCTGGGTAAGGCTGTGCTTTGATCTGCTAAGGGGGGTGGGGGGGGGGCTGTGAGCGGGCTTTGTACCCTTTGTCTCTGGGGGGGGAATCTAGGATAGATGGAGAGGTGTCAGACAGGCGATGGCATTCACAGCCGGGGGCGGCATCAGCCGGTCAGTCCCTGTGATCTCTGTGTGAGTGAGTGAGTGAACCGGGGGGGCTGGTTGGTGCAGGGTGGGGCGGAGGGGCTTCACACTGTGGCATGGGGCGAGGGTGAGGAGAAGCTTGAATGTAAGTGAAGCTCATTTTACATTAGAGTGAATCAAATATCTTGCAGGGGGTTCTAACTCCATGTAACTGGACCCCCCCCCCCAAACACGCACACAAACACACCCTCCTGCACTGGTGGGACTTGTTGGAGCCATTCCTCTGTCCCGTTGAGGTACCCCCTGCTGGGGTGACATTGTGCTGTAACATGACCATATCCCCGCGTTAAGAGCCCCCCCCCCCCCCTTAGCTAGGTGTAGGTGGGCCCACATGCTAATTGAGCTATGGGCTATTTGCTGCATAATTAGCCTTTTGTCTGTCTGCCTGGGTTCCTCCCAAATTAGCATGGTGCTTCGGACGGCCATGCTAACGGCTTTATCTGTGGAGGGGGGGAGGGGCGGAACCTGTGTTGTATCAGCAAGGATGCTGTTTAATCCAACTTGGACATCTCTGGTCTGTTAGCTGGCCCTCTGTTTGGGCCGTAACAACGCATTAAGTAATAATAAAGCAATATGTAAAAACTTGACAAAATGTAATGCATGTTCGTCATATGACGCAGCGTTATTGCGTGACGCATTGTCACACGCTGTAATGATGTAATAACTCGACACAAAGCAACATTTTCATTACATAAATTGAGGTGAGTTAGAAGCAGGAGCTGGCTTTTCAGTCAACCAACAGTAACCTGATATCTCAGGCTTGGGGAATTTCGCAGCTAATCCTTCCACATTTTTGTTTTGCAGATGCCATTTATGGATACGGGTCGGTCCTGTTCCCAGGGCCAGCACACTCAGCCCAGATCGCATGTCAGTGGGTGTTGTGGGGGGGAGCTGCTGCTGCTGCATACATGTCTTTCATGGAAGAAACAAACAATTCTAAGTGAACTTCTACCTGGAATTTCATCTGAAACGAAACAAGCTCAATCCGGCGTGAATGAGTCTCCTTAAGGCCGTTTATATCAGATTATGTCGTTTTAGGATTCGTCAACATAGCCGGATGTTCTTCATTCATAGCCGATTATATGCCAGTGCTCATGGGTCCCTGTGACCCCTAGAGGGTCTTCTGGGGAGGGGCGTGGTGTATGAAACACTCCTCTTGGCTCCTCATCTTATCTGAACCAGTTTCTTTTTTTAATGTTTACTTTATATTCATCAGTTATGCTCTTTGAGTAGTATGGGATTACTTCTATGATTACATCTGTTTTCCTGAAATTTGCTAACCTTTTTAAAGCTTTTTGGGTTCCTTTACAGTATAAAAACTGGGTGCACACACAGTTTTCCCGTTTTTGCGCATGCATGCATGCACGCGGTCATTGTTCTAACCTCTGTCCAGGAGCAAGACCCCAGTGTTCTCCTCAGGCGCACTGCAGTGACCTTTGTCCTGGTGCCACTCTTTCAAAGGCATGTAAATGATACCTGCTGGGTGCCTCAGGAGGTGCCGAAGAGAGCCAGCTTTGTTGCCAGTAGGCGTTGAACTGGAATCCTGGGAGGGATCCTGCCGTTGTCATGCTATGAGAACCGTGGGGCCTGTGGTCCGACACCTTGTGAGTTTTTTGTTTTGTCTTTGGTCTTGATGCTGTTCCGGTTGTCGTCTGTCCCCTGACACTAACAGAGCCCCTTGTCTAATGTGGGACCAGCCTTCCCCCGGCTCTTCAGTCCCAGGTGAATCTCCTGGGCATTTCACTCGTTTGAAGAGGGGTGGCCATCAGCGCCCAGTGCGGAGGAAACCCGAAACCGTGTTGACTTGGCCTTCTGCACATCCGGCTGTGTCGCGCTCTCGTGGGTAGCTCGGGGAAATTAGCCATATAAACGTATTCCCTTAGACTCATCCCCTGTAAAAGGGAAGTTTTCCTCCCCGCCTCGCTGTGGACTTTGGGCTGATGTGATGTGGATGTCCGCTGGACTCTCGGCAAACTGGATCTGCTTCCTGTTTCACGGTAACACACGAGTGAAACATCTGACCTGCTTGCAACTGCTTGGGTTTTCTTATGATTACTAGCGGTTGCATAATTTCCATGATTCATCCAGTTTGCTGGAACTGGCCATTTGTTCTTGATATGAACCACATATTATTGATGTGGTGATTTACAAGGAGAAATAGGCATTAAATCATGGTTCTGTACTGTAAGGTGCCCTGTACTGTAGTGATTGGATGTCTACATGTATTACAGTGTGTATTGATCCATATTGCACACCATTTTATAGATAGGCAAAGCTTGCTGGTTTACAGAAGATGGTTTATACAGGAGGGTCTCCCAGTTGGGTTTTAGCTGTGCAAATGGGCTAGTTACCACTCATTAGCACTGGAAGGGAATGGGGGGGGGGGGTTCACCTAAGCTGTTTCAGAATTTGCTGAAAGACTTGCTGGGGCTGGCTCATATACATTTGTTTGGATGGCTAATCCCTTATTCTCGGTGGGAGGAAGGAAGATCATGTAAATCTCTAGCTTCAGCACTGTAGTGCCACCTGCTGGCAGGGAGGTTAGGTGGTTAGAGATCAGTGTAATTGGATAGAAAATGAACTGGATTTGTTGTTTGGCTACATTTTTAATAGCCAAAAAACCCATTACTTTGATTATGGGAGACCGAGATGTAGTGATGTAGTTGGTAATACTTTGAATGAGCACTACTGCTGTGGCTGACGTAGTCTGTACAGCAATTCATTAATTCACGGTGTTTCTCCTTTCTGTGACATTTCTTTCTTTATAAACGGGGGTTCATTTTGTGGGCGCATTTTCACATGCAGATTGCTGGGACATTAGACAGAGTTACGGTACAGCAGACCAGAGAATCACATTCCTCACAGGGAACAGGCAGTCCTCTGAATCTGGCTCGGCCTGTCATCCATCAAGTGCCCCTCTGTTCTTCCCACAACGGCTGCCTTTTGAATGGAGCGGACGGGGATGTAAATGTTTGTGGGTGACGTCGGCAAGGCAGACTGAGCAGCTTGTGGGTGGAAATGTCCCGGATTCAGTCCCCCAGTGTGACTGAGCACCTGGGATGACGGAATCCCCCAGCCCACATAAGATGTGACCTGCTTGGCCCCCCCGCAGGTGGTGCCCCCCCCCCCCCCTTCGGATCATGGACTTCGACATTTCATGACCAATAGAACTTTCTGTAAAGGATTGATAGGGAGAGTTCCTGTAACACACAGAGCACCTGTGTCTGAACGGGTGGGAAGCGGAGAGGCCGGCTGCGAGCGCTCTCACTCTGCAGATCACTGCTCAAGGCACTGCGGTGATGTATCTCTCTGGGTGGAATATAGATTCTTAGGAATCGTCACAGATTTAGTTGATAGTCCTCGAGGACAGAGGGGTGTCACCTGAATCCTTTGCAGGGGGGGCACCGGGATACTTCTGTTGTACTAAAAACTGAAGTTGTGTGACGTACACTGGGAATGATGGAGGAGGGGGGTCTGCGGTCAGATAGCATTGAGGACTGGTGACAGTCTTGTTAGGTTAGCCGGTCTTCCACAAATGAGGTACTTGCTGAAGAGGGAGGCCTGTATGTGTCTCTGTTCCTGGCTTGATGCCTTCCTTTCCAAAGGATCCGTGTCTGGAAAATGTAAAATGGCCCCTATTCCTAACTTTACTGCTTGGGAGGAATGTCTGGTTTTGTGGAATCCGGAGAACGGTTTGCCTGCTTTGTCTGTCCTAGTACTGAAATCAGTCATTTTTTAATGTATTGTTGCCTCCTTCTTCCTAGGTGGTGCCGCACGTGTGTGTGACCAAGGACGACTGCTGTTTTCTGCAGAGGCCTGCAATGGCTTTGATGTCAGGCCACCTGTATACGTGTGCCCTTTGACCTGAACTCGAGTCCTCTCACTCTGAAGCTTTGGCTCATCTGCCACTTGCTCTCGGGTCCGACCCCCATTGTCAGTTCTTTGGGGTTTTCTCCAAAGCCGCCAAAATGCCCATCTTGAAGCAGTTGGTTTCTGGCTCATCGCAGTCCAAGCGCCGCTCACGGGCGGACCTAACAGCGGAGATGATCAGCGCCCCGCTCGGTGACTTCCGGCACACCATGCACGTGGGCCGGGGTGGTGACGCCTTTGGGGACACCTCCTTCCTCAGCACACGCACTGGGGAGCCCCCTCAGAACGGCCGGGCCCAGCCCAGCTCCCCCGGGTCTAAGCCAGGCCTGTTGTCTCGCACCTTCCGCAGCAGCAAGCGCTCGCAGTCCGTCAACCGGGCCGACAAGCAGGAGCAAGCACCGGCATCCCCGGAAGATTGCTTGGTGAAAAATGCTGTATCTCTGCCCTATCTCGCCGATGAGGGTGGGGACGGCAGAATCCAGGTGCCCAAGAGCCTCTCCTCCACCCCATTGAAGAATCTACCGGAAGTGGACAACAGGCCCCTCAATGGGGCGGTGGCCTCCAAGGCATCAGATTTGGAGCTGGATGAGCGGCGCTTTGGCGAGCTGACAGACCTGCCCCCGTTCGCTGGCTTTGGGCGTGGGGGCATGAAGCATGCAGAGTCCATCATGTCCTTCCACGTCGACCTGGGTCCTTCTATGCTCGGGGACATCCTCAGTGTGATGGACAAGAAAGGCTGGGACGATGACGACCTTGGCTATGAGGAAGGAAAGAGCAGCGAGGGGCATGCGTCCCCATCCCCGCTCGGCCTTCAGGCAGATGCTGAAGAAGATGGCGAAGCGGAGGAGCTTCTGGAGCCTCCACTCCGTCCACCTCGTGCCGTGGATGTGGAGAACCATGAACCGGGCCCCTACACACCCGAGCCATGGCCCAAGTACCACCAGCACCTGGACAGCTGCTCCATCTCCAGCTCGGGCTCTGCTGCCCTGGAGGAGAAACCACTGGGCCTCTCGCACGGGGGAGACACAGATAGTGCCAAGTTTAGCTCACCACGGGGGGAGGATGAGAAGGACTTCTCTTTCATGGATGAGGACGATGATGAAATTCGTGTTTAAAGGGAGAAGACTAAAGTGCCACTATTGGATTTTTTTTTCTTAAAATGACAGAACTTAGTAGCATTTAAGGCATGCTGGCAAAGTATGAAGCTTAGAGTTCCCAAAGCAGACCATTCCAAACTCCAGCCCCAGTCCCTCTTCATCTGGAGAATTCTCCTGCTCTAGAAAAACAAACCCTTATCACACCATCTGCCTTGTTTCCCCTGACAGCTGCAACTGTATGGTGGGGGCCAGTGCCTGTCCTATAGGACCAGTCCTGCAAGCCTCTGATTGACTGTAACACGCATTTGCATTTTCCTTGTTTTAGACAGTGAATGTTCTACTTTGGATTTGTACAGTTTTCATGCTTTTTCCATCGAGGATGTTGGTAGCTCTGTGTCCCTGGTTTCGTGAACACTTGCATGACGGAGACGCTCTAAGGACCGACCTTCTGCAACTGGATGTTTCAACGGTGTAAGCCTAATGACAGACCGTCATTTGGCCGGTCCCAGAGCCGTCATATCAGAGGAAGATGTTAGTCACAGGCTGACTGGCAGTTTCTCACAATCCCAGGGAAAGGATTGTGTGTTTTTCGTCCAAAATGAATGCTACTTTAAAAAAATAAACTGTTGGATACTTTTGGGTTGGTGGACACATTCATCTGCAGAACATACATTTATTACCATTTTATGCAGTTATTCTGCTTGACTATCCAGTGGGAGGAGCTGTGTGGGTGTGTTGCATTATGGGAATTTGAGTCTTTGGTCATGTGTAGCTGGGGTGTCATTCAGCGACCAGTTACTGCTTCTAATGGTAGAGGAGACAGTTCTGCACCCCCTCCCCATGTCATTTTGATTTTACTTTTTTGTCAGCTGTGGTACTTCAGTGGTGTCTTCAGCTCCATCCTTTTATGGCTTTGGTGCTGTAAGCTGGATCTGAGGTTATTTTCTGTACCTGTGGCTGCTCTGGGTCTGCCCACTGGACCACCCGCTCTTGGGTCAGACCCTGGCAGCTGCTGTCGACATAATACTGACCTGTAGCTGGAAAGACTCTAAGACACTAATTCTCTTTTCTACAAATTCTATGTGTAGTTGAATGTATCATTTCATGCTTCTCAGTTTTATTTTCCCCATATAAATAGACATAACACTCAGTCTGTTTTATGTGTGTGTTTTTTTTAATGACATGTATATTTAGAACCTATGTACCACTGACTGATTGTAATGGGAGTGCCTGGAATGCCGTGTTGCATCTCTGCGTTGGGCTTCTGTTGGAGCCTTGACCTGCCAGTTGAGGACCCAACCTTGTCACCGCGGGGCAGAGAAGGATTGGCAGGTTTGTAGAAGGATAGAGTCACGTTGGATGGAGAGACGTCTCTCTAGATGCCACTGTAAGGGAACACGGAGCTCCTCTCCTCCCACCACTTGGCATGCTTTGGGTCTTGCTTGAAGGTGCTGGCTTGTCCTTCCTAACCACACGACGGGGGGAGGCTGGGGGTGTTTTTGTAAGCATTCTTTTCTAATGGATAATTAGCCTATGAGGTCATCAACCTGCGATGATTAACGAGAGTTCTTGGAACGTGAAAAGTGGTTTCAGAGGTTGCCTTGACCCTTGGGTGTTGGAGGCCCAGAACTTAACATCACTTTGAGTTTGAAGTAAGATGGCGGCAGAATGCGTCTCGTCTTTTTTATTGTCAAGAGCGGGGGCTACCCAGTGACAGATGATCTAAATACTCATGTGCCAAATTTTCGGTCTTCTACTTCTGGGTTGTTAATGTGAGTTGGTTTGTAGTGATGGCATCGAGAACCTCCAATACACATGTTCAGTGTTAGCTTAGCTTAGCTAACACTGTTTTGGGAGCCTTGGATCAGCCAGCACAAACTGCTCCGTAAACTACTCTGTTCCACGCAAATTAAACCCTAGTGTGTTATTTTAAAGCAGGGGTCTCCAACTCTGGTCCTGGAGAGCTACTTTGCAGTAAGTTTTCTATCCTACTTGGCTTCTGATGAGCCACACCTGCTCCTGGTATTTACCTGAGAACAGGTGTGGCTCATCAGAAGCCAGGTAGGATAGAAAACTGACTGGATAGTAGCCCTCCAGGACCGGAGACCCCTGTTTTAAAGATCACCCATGTCAGGTTCCGCGGTGTGTGAGATGCAGGTCCAGCCTCTTTGGGGCTTCTTTCTCTGTCGGACCACACGATGGACACACACTTCTTGCATCTTGGGGCACGGGCTGTGCCTTTGCTCGCTAAGGAGTCGTCTGCTGCTTTTGGCACAAGGATGTTGGGTCACCTGGAATGAGGGACCCATGATTAAAGCCAGTGGTGCAGATGGTTAAGCAGAACATGAAGAAAAGTAGATGTCAGACTTAGGTTTTTATGGTGGTGATTCTTCTGCCTCTGCTCTGTTCTGAAGTTCTTGTTTCTTCACACTAAAATGTAAAGATTTATATTTACTTTCGAATAACAGCTGTATTTTTCAATAAAAGATAAGCCTGGTAATCTTGACAAAAGCTCTGTCGCGTGGTGTTTTTTCCCCCCTTACTGCGTTGTTGTCGGTGGACCGTGGCAACAGCCCCGGATTCAGCTGAGGCCTGTATGTACATGGCCCACATTTTCATTTCGGTTATCGTCACATCGGCACGGCTGCCCTCGGCCAGACTTTCAGTTTGGGTTCACCGCTCTGAAGTGTCGACAGACTGGTTTAACAAAAAAAAAGACATGCATCATTAAAACATTACATGTTGCACTGATCTGTGCCTTAAATGAAAGGGCAGGTGTGCACCTAGATGAGTGGCTGGGGAATGCCCATAGCATAGAGCGGAATTCCCCTCCACCTTCCTGTAAAGGCGGTGCTGGGTGGGGCAAGGCTGGAATTGAGAAGTGGGAGGTCAGCTTTCTGCACCCCTGGGGGTATGGGGGCTATTAGCTGCAGGTCTGGCGGTAGGGTGGAGCATCATACCCATGGGGTGGGGTGGGGTGTCTCCCCTTACGGGGGCAGGTGTTTTGCGGTCTTTGTGCACAGAAAGCATCATGATAGCCAGGTGTTCCATGATGAAGGTAGGCTCAGCAAACACAACCTCCCCCCCCCGATTTAATCAAACAGTAGGAAATGATACGTGCCCACCCCCCACAGGGCAGAGCTCACTGTGTTATGGGTAGAGGAGGACAACTTTGGACAACTCCCATGTGTGAGAATAGCAAACCCAGACTGGGCTGGCTACTGGAGACGACGGATAATAACAGTCAGTGCGTGGGGGGGTGTCAGATTTACACATGATGACGGAGTACGGCTGGATTTGCTTAACCGTTTTGGACAGCATGATACAGAGGCGAACTGTCTAAATCCTGCCTGTTTCATTTTATATTTCCATGACGTGGTCATTTCTGGCGGCCAGAATGTTTTCAGTCCCACGCAGAGTCTAAAATATTACTGGTGGTGCTATAATGACTATTCACAGAACTGGGGTTGGCGGGGGGGGGGCAACAGGCTGGAGGGTGCGGGAATACAGAATACTGATGAGTAACTGTGGGTGCTGGGAATGCTCATCTGATGATCTGATGAGAGTGTGTGTGTGTGTGTGTGTGTGTGTGTCTCCCCTCATTCCTTCTCACACAGACTAGCCTGGGGGGGGTCCCGGGCAGATTTCCCCCAGATGCTCCTCTAAGTTTCTGCTATTCACAGAGGTATTGTGACCATAGGCACCTCCCACTTCTCCCAGTACCGGAGGACGTTCCTGATTCCAGCAAGTGGTAAAAGATGTGGGGTGGGGGCATTTCAGCGGTGAGCAGCCGGCGCTCATTTGAGATCCATGACGCTCCACAGCTGGGCTCCAGATGCTGGGACCCCCCCCCCCCCCCCACCCTAAGTGGACTTGCCCACAGGGCTGCATATACATGTTTGAGCTGGATTCTCCCAGCTGGGTTGGAGTCAGGGGGCAGGTGGTTGGCTAGTAGCCCCCCGCTCCTCCCAGCCCCCCTTTTTCTCGGTCAGCTCAGCCTTTCCTCAGGGCTCGGTGCTGAAGTGCATTGTGGGTCAGGGCCTCCGACTCAGCTGTCACCGCAGAGACGCAGCATCGCCTCACTTCGACGGGGCGGCCCTCAACCCGCCCAGTCGCATTTTCAGCTCATCAGATTCTATTTCACCTCTTTTTATTTGCTTGATGATATTACTGGCATCATACAGATGCTGTTTTAAGAAAGTATGTAATGAAATATTAAGACTATGTAGCTGTGGATTAAGAAATATAGCGCCTTTTATCAACCACATGGCACCTCAGTGTCTAGCAGCCTTATGGTAACTTTCCTCCTGGTTAGCTGGCCTGGGATTGTCATACTCAAGTCTGCCACCTGGTGGTTGCTTGAGAAAAAGACAAAATTTGACTGCTTATAACAGGGGTGCCCAACTCCAGTGCAGGGGGGCCAGAGCCCTGCACATTTTTGGGTTTCCCCTCATTTAACACACCTGATTCAACTCCTTGTGCTAATTACCACACAGCTCTTGAGCTGAATCATTTATGGTGGAACAGGGAAAGAACTAAGCTACACTGGGCTCCGCCCCCCCAGGACTTATAACAATGTAGCAAGCAGAAACATCCAGGGGGGGGCGCTGAGCTGCAGATGCCGGGGGCTGTAGGGTGGTGCTGGTTTTGGGCTCAAAAAAACGAAGCGATAATTAGAATGTCCCCAAAGACAGGCTGTATAATCAACATGAATCAGTATTACTGTATTAAGACATATCATATGGCCTTTGTCTTAGTTTCACTGTAATTCTGGTGGAATTTCTGGTTTTAGTTTTGGCCTGCTAGGCAGTACTTCTGGTGACTTCATTGTAAAAGAGACATATTCAGAGCAGGTAATAATCAGAACAGTACCGGGCCGAGCCGCAGATGTGGGCTTCCTGCAGCAGAGATGTCAAATTACTTCAAAATTACTCAGCCATGGTTACAAGATTTTTTTTTTTTTTTTTGTATGGTCACATATGTGGGGAACACTGGGATATTCATGTGTGACAGTTATGGGATGGGAGATTACAACAGTGCAATATTAGAATAAAATATAATAAATAATATTCACTGCTCAAAAAAATGAAAGGAACACTTTTTAATCAGAGTATAGCATCAAGTCAATTAAACTTCTGGGATA